TATATATATCAAAATACTTAACCTGTTTTTTCTTTACACTTATTGGTTGCAACAGGTCCACATACTCGAAATGTATATGTTTTACCCTGAGATGAAGTAACATTCAAATCTTTATTCATTAAAGATTGTAAATCATACCTGCACGAAATGCATATTGCATTACTATCAAGAATGACAATTGAAATTGTTATATGAACAATGAAATTCTTACGTAAAATTTGTAACAGGATTATTTATAGTACATCTTCCAACTGTCTTTGCACTATATTCACGTAAAAGTTTTAAGCTACAAGCAGCTGCGGTTATCCATTTCAATCGATAATGACAGCCATCAGTTTCTGTTACCTCTGGAGATGTTTCCTAGTAAAATAAACGTAATAACAACATAGAATTTTTCTAACCATTATACTTAAGTAACAAGTTCGTCGACAAAATAACATATTCACTTTAGCTTCCAAATTACAGATAAATGTAATGGTGGTTCGAATATGATGTTCTATCTGTTGTCCATTCTTACACATACTTCCATCCTCGTATTCTAATATCAGATTTTTAGAAGAATCTATGGTAAGAGGTTTCTGAACGTTTCCCAAATTTAAATACCTGAATTTAAAGTGATACATCAATCTATAGAATGATTTCTTTATTGCTTTGATAAAACTACTGTGTATAGTATATTAACAATTCTTTATATATTTATACCTAAATGTAGGTTCTTTTCGAGGATCATAAAGACAAGCTCCCGAATTTATAGTACAGAGAACGTTGTATCCAAATATCACGGAATGACAAACATTCAATATTAAATTAACAGAAGTATTGTTTCCAACATGTATATCATAATTATCCGAATATCTTTTTAGAACTGAAAGATCATAATGAGAGCCATCGGAAGGATCAGTCACAGTACAATTGATTTCTTTTCTTTTAGCGCAAGCAAAAGCGCTTTTCCATACCATATGGAATTGACATTTATATTTCTGTAGATGATAATTATTACATTGGTAAAGTAAAGTAAAGTCAAAGATCAAAAGAATCTTCAAAAGAAACATATATTTGATAAATATGTAAAATTACTTGCTTGTTCAAATGTACTTGGTATCGAATAACTGTTAATTGAATAATCGCACATTATTAAAATATCCACTGTGTAATTGACACCCGATTGGCATTCATCACCGTTAAAAGTAAAATGTATTTTTCCAGATTTAGTTGACAACTTTGGTATTACTTTTCCTATCAAAAATAATAACTATGAAGTGCTATTAAATGAAAATACAAATGAAAATACAAATGAAATACAAATGAAATACAAATGAATAAGAATAAATGAAATCTCACCTATTCCTATTTCTTTGTCATTTTTTTCTAAACATATAGAATATCCATCCTTCCCATTGCATTTTTTTATCAATGGTGAACATAACTGCATTCGTATAGTTTCATTAGAATTATGATGAATGACGATATCCTCTCCAGATTTAGACAATTTAGTTAAATTATAAGAATGACTAAAGATTTCTTCGTTGAATTCGCAGTAAGGTTTAGTTTTATCAATAACTGTATTACCCTGTACGATAAAATAAACAATACATTAATTATATGCTTGTCGTTGTTTTCAATGTAAATAATTCACTCATACCAAACTAATTGTTGAAAGAGAAAATAAGACTATAAAAACGTTTAGGTTGTACATCTTTTGGATTCAAAGATTCCTTCTGCAACCGCAATGACAATAGATCTTCTAGCAAAATACATAACAAGTAAGCTCTATATACTGACTTTTATTATCCACTCAACATATACTTAAATAAGGATGACTAATGCAGATATTTCAGATAATGTTCGATCTCAACAACGCAACATTTAGGTTAGAATTATTTTCAAACACAACATTGTGAAATAAAGCACGACTTGGCTTATCGATTTATCCTTTCGAGACATACAATATATCGAATCGTCTAATATCGATATACGTATATGCGGGTAATTTGAAAGATACATTTGCGCATTATATTATTTTCTTTCAAATTCAATGATCTCTTGTTTATTTGGCGCGACCCTGACAAAACAATTAATAATAATAATAATAATAATAATATATAGCATACTATTGATTGTATTATCAAAGTAAGGTAATAACGAAATGCACTTTAATCATAATTAATTGAACTATAACGATGTCCTTGGTCAAGGCGGGGATAATGTTCTTATACATTTTTCAAGATAATTAAATATTTCAATTAAATGGACAAGTTTATCGATTAAACGAGTTTTATAGCGCAATACTCGAAGAACTCACATGTATTACTAAAGATATTATTATCCTTAGAAGATACCTCTCTGAGCTCTGTTCGTGTTTTGCAAAATAAAATAAAATAAAATAAGTCAATAGAAAAGGATAAAAGTGTAAAACTTGTAACATTCATTGCCAAATCTCTTGTTCAAATAAACGAGAAACAATGAACGATGTAATTAAAAGATTTACCAAAAAAGATCAAGTTCAGGATATCTCTAAAGTTAATAAAATACCATGTAAAAGTATAAACGATATTTTACGTCCTATCAATATTCTAAATAATATTTTTGGATTGCGTATTTGTATATTTCCTCAGAGCCGTCGAAGGCCCCTACTTAGTTTCCTTTATTCGTTGACAATTTGCTGTCTTCATTATCTAGGAAGTTTGTACCGAGATACAAAATTTGACTGCATCAGGGTATATCATTTAGATGAAATTCTATGTCATGCTGTAACATTCTTAAGTCATTTGATGTTATGTTTGATACTTATTATGGGATTATATCAAAGCGAGGTAAGTTGAACAAAATTTGTGTCAAATTTCAAACAAGTGCATAACTGCAAACTCAATTTGTCAGACTGTCTGAAATATAAACAAAAAATATTGTTTACTTATCATCCTATTATTTTCACAGTCATCGAGATTATGTGCAAAGAAAATTAACGATATCGATAAAACGTTGAAGAAGTTAGGCTCGCCATCATACTTTAATGATATTTACAAAAGAACGATTACATATATAACGATAACTGTTAGTTATATCGGCATTTTCTTCGCAATGATTATTTTAACAGAAATTTTACGAAATGAGCCAATTAATAGATCTTCGATACTATATTATTCAATGTTCTTACACATATATGGTTATATAATTGAAAATTTACTGGTGATGGAATTCGTTACAATTGTAAGGTATGTAATAGTTTACAAATATAATATACAATATTATTTATATAGATTCTAAGTAGGAAATCTTTGTTAAACGTAGGTGCATCAACTCGGAATTTCAAAGAGCAAATGAACTTCTCGGGGACGTCAATGTTCTACCAATTCGTTCAACCGAATTGAAATTAATTGAAGTGAAAAAAAGGGGAGATTATTTTTCTAAAGAAAAGTCTCTCTCCCCCGATGGAGACCAATTATTTTCTGATGTATCATCGTTATCGTCTCAAACACAGTCACAATTACAAATTGCAAGTCAAAAAATAAGTCGAAGCAAAATGTTATTACGGACGATCAGGTAATCAAATCAGTAAAGTAAATCAGGTAAGAAATTATTATCTACTATTTATCTAAACGTTTCATTTGATTATTTCAGACAGGTCCATTTGGAATTATATAAAGTATCGAAAAGTTTAAGTACAATTTACGGTATACAAATATCCCTAGAAATGGCAGCATGTGTTATTCTTACTACATACATAATATACAGATCTTATGAAAAGTATCAAAAAAAACATATTGACGATTACGAAATGTTTTATCAATATTTCATACTAATTATGCTATTGTTACAATATTCGACCAAGATCTTCATTATCGATTACACCTGTGATAAAACAACGAAACAGGTATGGAATAGCAATTTGTTGTCTTTCTCGTTAAATCAATAATAGCAAGTTTATAATTTGTAGGCTGAACGCACCAGCGAAATTATTCACACATTTTATGGACTAAATACGGACTTGGAGATTAAAGAGGAGGTTAATATTTAAACATTGTATTTCTATATTTCCATGAATTTCTATTACCATCTTTGCAGGTGGACATATTTTCTTTGCAAATGATGCAATGTCGTACCACATATTCCGCATTTGGTTTTTATAATCTTAATTGCAAACACATTTGTTCGGTCGGTACAATTTATTATTTGCATAGAGTTATGTTATAAATTAGTAAGTAAAAAATAATGTATATTTTAGTGTATCGGTATCATAACGACATACATGGTTATCATAATACAAGTAACCGATTCAATTAAATATGGATCATAAATCGTCTGCCAAAATTATATTTAAAAACATAAAACTGACATAAAACTAACATAGAATTTTCTTAAAAATTCGAAATAATATAATAAGCAGACAAAGACGAGGGCTGCATCCAACAATGATTTCACTCACCTGTCCAAGTTTTATTTCAAGATTTACACCTACAAGGATTATGAATTGAAATTATTTTGTTTGTATCATAAATCATTTTCATTCTACCTGAAATAAAGTCAAATAAAAGAAATGTAACAAATTTTGTAGTACCACTCCATTGGTCTGGTATTGTATAATTTACAAAGATGGCAGCTAACAAACACATGCTGCCATCTAGTGTTTCAATGCTTCGTTTAATTTGACGTATGCTATTTTAACGAGTGGCTAAATATCTTTGTTCTTTATACATCTGTTCAATCAGGAGGAGAATTTTGGTTATTTTATAATTTTAGATGAATAACAAATTACTGTAATATATAAAATGATGAAATAGTTATTGAAATAGTGTTGAACAAAAGAACAGATTTGAACGTGAGTACAATTATTATTAGCATTGTTATTATTGTTACTTGTGATGCTTCAAATGTTTTTTTAATCTGTGATTTAAACATATCATACCGTTGACATTATGTTTATTTTATTGTTTAAAGTTTGAACTTGATCGTGCATATTTTTTAGCACCACAATTAATATAGGAAATAGTCATTTTAGTAATGTCAATCATTTTAACCTATAACATGTTATTTGACAATACTTAATGATTAATAATTATATAAGTTATATTTTGCAGATTATGTGGAATTCCGAGTTTAATGACTTCGATGAAGAAATGACTATTAGAAGTTATTCAGAATTATTAGAAGAAAGACAAGATGAAGAGGGTACTGAGACTGCATCCACAGTTGATCAAGTTAGTTAGTGGTATTATAATATCACATTATAAGTGCATACAAGATATTTATGTTTTATATATTATTATTGTTTTTAGATCAGTACAGAAGAAAGTATTCTTGAAATGTATCAAATGAACAAAGAGCCTATCTTGACCAGACAAAAACATGTGGCTTTATTAAAAAAGTCATTGATTCATCTTAGCGAGCCTTATGAGGTAACAACGATAACAATAAAGAAGAAAACAGAATAAAAGAATAGATTTCAATCGAGCTTTAAAATTCATCGAGCTTTTTATGTTAAGGGTTTAGATTCCAGCAGACCATGGTTATGCTATTGGATACTTCATTCACTTCATATATTAGGAGAATCTTTAAAGAATGAAGAATATTCTAAAATAGCCGGCTTTCTTGGCAAGTGTCAATCCGAAAAGGGAGGCTTCGGTGGAGGTCCAGGACAGCATCCTCATCTGGCACCAACTTATGCTGCTGTTAGTGCTTTATGCATTATAGGAACTACTGAAGCATATGAAGTAATAGACAGGTATGTATTCGAATTCACAAGGTTAGTATCATTTGAGTTTTTGTTCATTTCAACTTGTTAATGTTACTTTAGCATGGTTAATTTTGTATTAATATTATATCCCCCCAATTAAATAATTTCTTTCTCTAAATAAAGGATGCGGTAATTGCAGAAAAAGCCTGTACAATTTCCTATTGTCCTTGCGAGGAGAGGATGGTGCTTTTGGCATGCACGTGGATGGAGAAGTCGACATCAGAGGAGTATATTGTGCCGTTTCTGTAGCCAGACTTACAAATATCTACACCCCTGAATTGTTTAAAGGAACAGAAGAGTGGATTGCAAAATGTCAAACATGGGAAGGTGGATTTGGAGGTTGCCCAGGTATGGAGGCACATGGTGGCTACGCATATTGTGGCTTGGCAGCTCTTGCGCTTCTTGGGAAAACTAACCTTTGTAATATGCCATCGTTATTGGTACGATTTCATTTGATTTATACTCGTATCGTATAGATATACGAGCTTGTATATCTACATAATTGTATTATGAAAATGTAACTTTAGAGATGGATAGTTAATCGTCAGATGCGTTTGGAAGGAGGTTTCCAAGGACGTACTAATAAATTAGTAGATGGGTGCTATTCGTTTTGGCAAGGTGGAGCTTTTCCATTGATCCATGCAATTTTAACAAAAGAAGGAAAAATATTCAATACTAATTATTGGCTATTTAATCAAGAGGCCTTACAAGAATATATATTAATTTGTTGTCAGCATTCTTCTGGAGGACTCGTTGACAAACCTGGAAAGTATATATCTTCTTGTTGTTTTCTTTCAACAATTATTATCACTTTGTTAATATAGTATATATGAGAGAGACTGATGTGATTTCATTAATTTTAGAAATCGTGATATATACCATACATGTTATGCCCTGAGTGGTTTGTCAATCGCACAAAATTCGCCGCGTCGTTTGATAATTGGACCATCTAGTTTAAACACAGTAGCGATTATTCATCCTGTGTATAATTTGGTGCTGTCCGCCGCAGAGAATGCTCTTAAATATTTCGACCAACTACCGATACCTGACTGATCGTGTAACTAATAAATCTAATAAATTTCTATTCCTTTTCCCAGAAATATTAGTCAAATAATTTATTCACATTAGCAAATCTATTATAGTTATAGAAGATAATACAGATTTCTTATTGATCGACGAAAAGAACAAGTCACAAGTAGCTTTGAGGAATATAAACTAGAGGCTCTACTTGTCACTTCTACACAGTGGTAGGAATTCATAATAGAATTAATAGAACACAACAGTATAACTTTGGACTCCGAAGCGAGAGTTTGTTGGATAACTCGTGTGAAATCAATTTTTGTGAGTGTTTTCAAGAGCTATCGTAAATAAGGTGAATTTATTTAGGAATAATTATCGGATTAAGATTAAAAAAAAAAAAAAAAAAACAAGTAAGTTCAAAACAATCAATAATAAATATTTGATGTTGAAATATTTTCAAGTAAAGCTTCAAACTACTTGCTGCAGTTGTTTCAATTTTCATCAACAGAGTTGTTTATCATATTGACGAGACGATTAATAATTTTAAATACTTTAAGGTGGAAGAAATTTGATTTGAAAATTAAAGGAAGTTTATTAGAATATTTGTAATTACGTAATTGGCTACTTTATCGGGAAGTTCTCGATAGACGGGATAGCGCGCAGTTAGTTTCATTACGAATGATTTTTTTGTTCTCTTCTTGTAATTATGTTGCAGTCAATTTCCTACGATATTAAATAGAATATTGTATTTTGTTGTCGTTGACTCGTAAATATTTAAATGGAATGATCTACTTTGGAAGGATCGATTCTCGGTTAGTTTACAACCGCAATGTTGGTTGGCACGACTCTTCCAAGAAGGTTGCTTGGCCACTCGAGTGTTCTTCATTCGAGTAAAAATACAAACGAACGGCAAAGAAGAAACCGGTTTTTCCTTTCCAACCTACGTTCTTCGATCTTAAATGATTGCGCTTTCACGTCCCTTCTTCGAACCGAACAAAATTCCAAAACACGTTCAAGTTCCTTGGAAAAAGATAAACACGGAAGAAAAGGGAACATCCCTTTCTTCTTCCCTAGGTCCTACGCAAATACGTACCTGTAACGGTGCCTGTAGCATTGACAATGTAGCATTGAATAATCTTCATTACTTATATTTCTTCTACAAATTTCACTTGGAGTTTGTCCAAAGAAACAATTATTTCTATGCTAGCCAACTCCTTCGATGTTATAATAATTAATAAATAAATAATACGGAGTTTATACAAATTACATCTTATTATAAGTAAATAAATATAAACGCGAGTATTAGTCGTAAATGTCTCGTAAATCCTAGTTGACATATTTCTTGAATTGAAGGGTCAAAGATCGATAACATTGTTCGATTATACGTTGAAATTCTTTTGTAAATTTATTGAAGCAGAAACGATGACGCATTCGTTTGATATTATCATTTATTTTTCGTCAAATCTTTTTTTGCAAATTGAGAATAAATTAAGCGAATAATCAAGAGTTAAACGATCGCGCTGTTGCATCACAAATGAATATTTGTATCAAAGTACTCCTACAATATTTCTTCTTCTTCTTCTTCTTACTTACTCTCGCGCGTATTTTATTTCTATTGTGATTTTCATTGCGATCCGATGCGATGCGATGCGATGCGATGCGATGCGATCGCATTAATCGTCAATCGGAAGATCTAATTACGCGTTTATCAATTACATTCTAGCTCCAAGTATTGATTGACTTTTTAATTTCTTTTTTTTCTTTTATCGATCGTTGTTTTAGTAATACTTTGAATAAATCTGACGAGCATCTCTATTTCATTGTGTTTCCTCGCATCTAAATGGAAGCAAAAGAGTACCTTGACAATGCTCACTGAGATGTAATGTTTAATGAAAGGAAGAAGAAACGATGGATGGAGAGAAAGGGAACGAGGCCATCTTGCCCGTATGCTTTCCATCGAGTCTCGCTCAATGAGCTGTTGCTGGTGGCTGCTGGTCTTTATATTATCTGCTACGTCCTTTGCTACGTTCTTTGCTTCGTTCAAATAATGCTCTGTTATATTATTAATGCCAGTAGAGAGTAAAATTTAGTTGCTAGTCGACCATTTATTGTTTTTGTAATTTTTCAATGCTTGAAAGATATTTAGAACGTCGGACGAATGCTTTCGAGTAGAAACTTATGCGACTAGTTGTGAGAAGGCGTGGAGAACGTTAGTTGACCGAATTTACTACAGTGAACGGAGAAGCCTTTTATGTCATATGTATGTACGCATTAACAGTATCACGTGTTAATCGTTAAAAGAAACTCGAGAATATCTCTATCTCTCTTTCAAAAAGGTTCTCAAAAAAGGTTCGAGTATCTGACTAACGCATTCGATACAAATCATCACAAAGGTAGTAGATAATATAAGATCAATTTGGTTCAATGAGATAAAGAAGTAAACTTTGGAACAAGAGTAACGTTTATTCATTGATTAAATTCTCACGTAACTACACAGGCCATGTTTCGGAGAATAGTATTAAATGAGAGGAGCGCATAAATGCGTATAACGGTTGTAATACACGGCGAATTACGCGAAGGCCATTTTTGCATAGAAAAATTCCAAGAATTCTCAATGGAATTCGTTTAAATGTGTGATTCATTAGTGGAGTTTGTTTTTCCGTTTTTTTTTTTTTTTTTTTTTATTTAATTTTTATTCTTCTTTAAATGATGCAGAGATCGTCGATGGTCCGATTAAGTATTGTCCATGGGTCAACGTTCCCTTACATCCGTTGTGTAAGGGATTCGTAAAAACAAGGGGAACTAACTCGCGAGCTCTCGGAACGATCATTTTATTATTATTTTAAACGAACGTCACGCTTTATTGCAAATAAATTTTACACTTTTATTTAGAATTTAATCCAAAACTACGAGATTTCAAAGTATGTGTTTCTTTATTTGATTTGTCCCTTTTTTTTTCTAAAGAGATTTTCTTTGCATTCCATCACGGAAGAATGCGGCACCCAACAGAGTGCAACAGTTACCTTCGAAACAAGAGATACCTAAGAAGAGAGAGAGAGAGAGAGAGAGAGACTTAGGAATCTTTGGAGCTGCTCGACGCTCGACTCCTAATCTTTTTTCTATTTTTCTTCCTGATAGTTCTTTCTCTAGTTTTATTTTAGAATGATAATCAGATTATCATCGTTATCTTTAGTTTATAATTCGAGAAGTTACGTAAATAAAATGTAAATATACTTGTATATAGAAAAAGTATATTTTGTTCTATGACATAACTTTTGAAAAATCAAATAGTTTTGCGGTTCTCTTCTAAATATAAAATCTTGTATTTTATTCTTTTGGAGATTCGAGCAAAAATGCAAATTAACCAACCGCAGTGTGTCACGTTCAGCATCTCTCTGCAGTGTCGATCGATTTACCTTTGAGGTCAAGGACAGGTGTATCACACTAAATCGAGACAAAGTAATATTTGACTTTTCTTTCTGTTATATTTAAGACTGCATTTTACGAAAAAAAAAAAAAAAAAAAAAAAAAAAAAAAACGAAAAACATAAATATTACACATTAATGAATACACATACTTATGTTATGTAACAGATTACGGTAATCGTACTTTGGTTAGTAGAAACATATGCGTGCATATATAAGTAAATAACTTTCTAAGTAAAAGATTAGGCTGTCCAGGAAGTTCTCGTGAAGATATAATCGAGTTAATATACTCGAACCAGAAAGCTAACGTTTCCGGGTTAGGTTCGCGTAACACGAATTATACGTGGGACACCTCGTAGATTTCGTATCTCACAGGACAGAGAAAGAGAAAGATCCTTTATTTTTAATACACCACCTGTTCTATCCTTATCGGTTCTCTATTACGTTACTTGTCGTCAGATCAACTTTCACTTCTTAACCAAGCCGTGTGCATTTTTCAGGATTGCGCAAAATGCATCGTTCAAATAAATAACTCAGCTAATAAATTACCTTGTCGATGAATATTTTCTTATCGATCATCGACATACCACAAGAAAAACAAAAATACATTTCTTTTTTTAAAAAAATAAACCGACGTACTTTCGAATATAATTCAGGTTAAAGAAATCATCAATATTATTTTATATAAGTCAAAGTTCGTTATTTAATGTTAATCATTGAATAAATAAAATATAATGTTCATTGACTCGATATTTTTCTCTCTTCCTCCCGATAACTAGAATTGTCGAAATATACTCTCAATGATTAGATAAGTGAATAGAAAGGGAGTGGAAAAAAGATAGCAAGAGAAAGTGAACGAAAGGAACTGACAAAAAATATTTTTTCCTTTCCACCAAGTCAAATAATTGTATTTTTTTTTTTAGAAAAAGATCGACTTCGGCAATTGATCAGATAATCGTTTTTTTTTTTTTTTTATTTGTCTCTTTATTTTTGCTAAAAAGTTTATACGTGCAATGATGCATATCCCGTAATGAAAGAGAGAGAGATACACGAATGATTTTGTTAAAAATTTATCACGAAGTCGCCCCACATCCTGTGACTCACGTTTTTGAGATCAACACTGGACAGAGTTGAGTTTTATGGTACTGAGTATGGTACTCCTGAAACTTTACTATCTCTCTCTCTCTCTCTCTCTCTCCCTACATCTACTTTTTCGATGTAAACGAATTAACTCCCTTCTAGTCACAGTGTAGAAAAGGGTCGGACCCCTTTTGGCTTCTCATGAAACATTATACGAACGATATCTCGATAGTTTCGATCGTCTCGATTCTGATCCTATACTACTGATTTTCTTGAAATATATAATTATAAAATAGTAATCAAATCAAATCAAATCAAATGAAATTGCAAGCAGATGATCAAAGCCAAACTTTCTCTTGGCTCACGACGAAGTTCGTTTTATTTAGGTACTCGGATACTATTATGAAATAATGATCGATAGATCGATTCTTCTCGCGAGCCTTGAAAAAAGAAGAAAAGAAATTAGAATGTTACTTATGATTACATATAAAACGTGTGTAATGTTCTATGCATAGCTCCAATTTGATATTACTTCCGACGACATACGTACGTATTAAACATCCACATTTAGTCAAGTGGTTGTGATATGGTGGTATGACGCCTACGCATAAAGTTCACATCTCTTTGTACGTACTTGTTTGTCTTTTGTCGCTTGTATGTCATATGCATACACGTGTACCTCTCCAAGAAAACAGTGTTTTGCTATAACATTACTTGATAACTGTACAAACGCATCCATACAGACATATTTCATCAAAGCAGACGTATGCACCTTGTCAATCGAAAAAGATAATATTTTTGTAGAAAATAATGTATTCGATTTTATTTTTAAACAGTACAGGTTGCTGCAAAATCTTATTACATACGATTTATGCTAACAAAATAGCGTGTACTTTTAAGTTTCGCTTGGGGAATATTGTAGATACGTGTGTGTGTGTGTGTTGTGTGTCATAAGCGCCTAGAGAATAATAAAAAGGACGATAATCAATATTTTTTTGGTTTGAGGCTGCTTTCTCTCTCATTGCACTTCTCTTGTGTGACTATTCGCTCGTACATCATACGTACAGCTTCATCATTAGAGGGGCTCTATAGATCCATCCCTCTTTGCGTGTATGCATCTACAAAAGAACGAGAGAGAAGGAGAGACCTGTCTGGATCTAAAACAGAGGTGCTCAACTTTTATTTTTATTCGACAATCAATGAACTTATATATTTTCTATTCAATCGTACACGATTAATAATAAAAATTATTATTATAATTATTTGGGGTAAAATTGAAAAAGGAAACGTCTATTGGATAGAATGTAGTATGTTTTAGTGTTAAACACGTGTTACGCGTTCTCCTAATCGAAATGCGAACGTGCTACACAGCTGGCTCGAACATTGGCGTAACATTCAACGAATATTTATAGAAAGAATAGAAATGCTGATTAAGCATTTCAATAAATTTGACATTTAGTATCGTCCTATCAGTTTAAACACATTCGAGATAGGAAAATCGTTTAATGATGATATCTTCATTAGTTGGAAAGTGATTAGATTTGTCATAATGATGGATAAAAATGTTCCATGTGTTCCATTGTTTGTATATTCTGTAAAAGACAACAAATATTTGTAAAAGAACGACGAACAAAGTTGAAACATACAGAGGTTACACTTATCTCGTGCGATGCTTCATACAAGAGATAACAGAGAGGTATAAAAACTTACGTTAAGCGGAAGAAACTGGATGATAATATGAAAGAAGAGATCAACGAGTGTAATTGGATATGAGAAATCCGATGATTTTGATTTTTCCAAGATTCCATTTGCTAAGATTTGCTAAGTATCAAACGTATCTCATTTTATCCTTTTATATTTTCTCTTTCTGTAATATTCAAAAGAATGAGAAGATAAACAATTAGAGAGAGTTGAAGAGAGCGAGGGTTAAACAAAGTATAATAATTAAAGACACTATTCTAATGTGTTTCTTTGTATCGCGATTATTATTTTGTTTGTTTTTTATTATTTTTTTTTATTTTTTTTTTTTTATTTAACCCGCCTCGCCGGTCGCTGAATGGTATGAATAAGTAAAAAAATATAAAGAAATTGATAATCATTCGTTCGTACTCGAAAGATTAGTCATCATTCGATTCATGAATTGCAATCCTATGACAGCTAACATCGTTATTTCAAGGATAACATTTGTCATTTGTAACATTACATCGAATCGATCGGTTTTATTCATTATCACGAAACGTTTGTACTTACAAAAATATCATGAAATTATGATAGCTGATTTTTAATAGCTGATAATTAAACTAAAGTTATGTATATAATTATCATGAACTCTCAGGATTTCTTAATTATTTACTTTTAATTGTGTTCCACGAAATGATTTCGTGACTTTTCGTTGCACGTCGCATGTCACATAAATCTCACGTTGATTATTAATTGCAAAACACGATAGCGTGTATGTAGTTTGTACATAATTGCATGCAACTTTTCAAAAAGAAAGAAAAAAGAAACTAAACAAATGATTTATTTTTTCAGATAGTCAAGACAAATTCTGGCTAATCAAGCCACAAGTAATTTAATTCTAATTAATCAATGAATATTTAATTGAACAACCGAATGAAGAAATGTTCATTATTTGTCTTCTCTTTGTTTTTGATTTCCTTATCAATAGACTGTTATTTAGAAATATTGCTAGGAAAGTTCATCTTTCGTTAATTTCTTACTTCCGGCCTTAAACGTTCGAGCAAAAGAAGCCAATTGATTTGTCGTCGCGTTTATGAATCATGAAACGAGTCACGCGATGACAAAAAAAATGATCGTAGCTATCGCAAAGCATGTACAACACATGTGAAAATATATGCCCAAGTATCTGAATAAGAATTCCGTTCGCGCTATCGAAGAAACATCGTTTTTTTTTCTTTTAGTTTAAAATGTGGTATGGCGCCGTCGCAAAAAACAAAGTTGTAGGAGGATCGAGTTCAGCCAAATCAAAGGCGGATCAACAAACCTGGCACGTTTCACGAATGTCCATTCATCTCATGAATTGCTATTAGTTTATTCTGGATCTGAGTATATGCTCAGCGTTATTTTTAGATTATTGCTGAAAATTACTGATTGCGAAAATCGTTGTTTTATCGAGTATATAGCATAGTATATAGTAATAAGTATATTTGATTTTATTCTTAGCTATATTAACTTTTCATCGAAGGGACGACGACCGCCTTTAGGTTAGATTTTGGGTACCCTGGCTGCTACTCAGTTTTCCAACCTTTCGGCTTGAATTTCTTTCTCTGAAGGATCCTTGTAGGATCTTCCCGGACCTTCCACAGACCTTCCCGATTGTTGGGATGTTTAGCTAGCACTGCTCTATCCAATTTTTCCCATAGGAGTAGACATATTCGGAAATTGATTTATTTATTTTAGCTCACATCAGCTTGATGTTCAAAGTATTTTAAATAAATTCTCTTTCTTCTTGATTTTGTTTTTTCTTTCTTTCTTTCTTTCTTTAATTCTCATTAATCTCATGAAAAAAGCAAAATCGGATATGATTCATTCACGGTTTAAAGTCGAGCAGACATCCGAGATGTGAATTTTCCACGAATCATTACGTTCTTGTAACGTAATGACGTTGGTAACTACAACTATAACCGATTCCATTTTTAATGAATATCAGCATAATATCCATAACTTCATATATACGAGTATTCCTTTAAAACAATGTCTTTTTTTCTCTTTCTTCGAATTTATTATTATCTATTATTTATAGATAGAGGAGAGATTTAAAATCTTTGATTGAAAAGTCACACTTAAAGTAGATCATTAACAAAGAACAACTAATTTCAATTTCTGCCAACTATTTCTTTGTCTTTTTAAATACATACACATATAGATACATATGTATATATATACATATCAAAGGATGCGTTACCATCCGAGATATATATTAACAAAAATAGTTTACTTATCTTTCGTTGTCTGTCTTTTTTGAAAGAAAAATATTGTAAATTTGCAGATCAGAGGATGCCTACATGTCGTTTGCCAACACATTGAAAAAGATCTTTGATCAAGAACGTGTATCTTGTTACACGTGTAAGACTATGTGAAGAAACAGTTTAATAATAATCATAATAGTATTTCCTTTGGATCGAACGCACATAGCCTTTCATTAGAAATGGCTATCTTATCGGAAAGAATGATATCTTTATTGATGGTGATGAGTGTGATTTTTACAAATACGTTGGCTGCACTCGAAGGACCGAACGTTTGTACGCGCCAAGATACGTGAGTCTACATTTCTTATTTCTCTACCATCCTTATTATTTATAACTTTATTTTTACAATTAAGTACAAATTAATAACCACTCGTTAAGTGTTTGATCGGTATGGAACATTAATACGTTAATATATGAATTTGAATGAATAATTATTATTTTTAGATATAAAGTCACTGTAAAAGTATCAGAGCAGAAACCTTACACCGTACGAGAGAATACGTGGTGTCTAAGCTTTCCACCTAGATGCTCTAAATACAAAGTCGTTTTCAAGACCGTCTACAAGGAACAGGTTAGCTTGCCAACTCGTTTACTTTGCTCCACTTTTACCTATGCAACTATAAACTTACTTCCAAACAATTACTCAATCTTTCAATTTCCGCGACAATTTAGGAAATAACTAAGCAAAAACCGGTTGAGGAATGTTGCAAGGGTTATACCGAAACAACAAGCGGTGATCGTTGCATTCCCGTTTGTTCGGAAGATTGTCTACATGGAACTTGTGTTGCCCCGGACGTCTGCAAATGCGAATCCGGTTTTGGTGGACCTCTCTGTGACTTTAGTAAGTTTCTTATACCTTCAAATATTTCGTATCTTTAATGAAACTTTTGTTTTTCGTAGAATGTCCATTGGGAAAATGGGGTATAAATTGTCAACATGATTGCATGTGTCAAAACAATGCCACCTGTGATCCTTTCGATGGCAAATGTATGTGTACGAGAGGTTGGAAAGGCGAACACTGTGATCAAACATGTTCATCGGATAAATTTGGTCAGGATTGCGGAGAGGAATGTCGATGTAGAAATGGTGGAAGTTGCCATCACATAACCGGAGAGTGTCATTGCGCTCCTGGTTATACAGGTCCTTTGTGAGTTCTTCTATTCATTATATATATATATATATTTACGCACGAATCAATAGAGGATATATAACGAATTGTTCTAACTTTTAGGTGCGACGATCTTTGTCCTGCAGGTAAACATGGGACTGAATGTAAGTCAGAATGCACGTGTCAAAATGGCGGATTGTGCAGTCCGACGACTGGGGAGTGCTATTGTACAGCTGGTTGGATGGTAAGTATGCGAATAATTAGTCTGTTTTTTCTCAATTATAGAAAGAAATAATTATTTTGGAATTATCTTAGGGTTCCGTGTGTGCTCATCGTTGTCCAGAAGGTTTTTGGGGCCGAAATTGTTCGATGATTTGCGATTGTTACAATGGTGGTGATTGTCATCACGTTACCGGAAAATGCCAATGCAAACCTGGCTTTTACGATGAGAAAGTAAGTATTTTATTAGATACCATTTACGTTCCCAATCGTTATTCCCTCTATCTATCTGTATTTAACGAGTTTTTCTACTTACCAACAGTGCTTAAAGATTTGCCCGAAAGATAGATATGGTTTAAATTGCACGGAAGAGTGCGATTGTAAGAACGGTGCCACTTGTTTAGCGACCAACGGTACTTGTATTTGTAGTCCAGGTTGGGAAGGAGAGAAATGCGATCAAAGAATTTGCGAAGATGGTGTCTGGGGAGAGAATTGTACCAAGGTAAAGTCATTTCATTTAAATGGTAAATCTAATTGATAAACGAACGATTTATAATTAAATTACATTTTATTCGAAAGGTTTGTCAATGTGATAAAAATAACACGGAATTTTGTCATCCATGGACTGGTAATTGTATCTGCAAACCCGGCTGGGACGGTGAAACTTGTAGTAGAACTTGCCCGTTATATACTTACGGGAAAGGTTGTCGGGAACATTGCAATTGCAAGAACAACGCTCAGTGTTCTCCAATAAATGGAACTTGCATCTGTGCAGCTGGTTACAGGGGTGAAGACTGCAGCGAACTTTGTCCCGAAAATACATTTGGAGAGGATTGCGTTCAGAAATGTGTTTGCAAAAATGGTGCCAAGTGTTCGCCCGAGGATGGCCGTTGCAATTGCACTGCAGGTAAGACAGAATTATTGGACAATTTTTGAAATCAAATACAAATTAATAGAGTATTTGTCAACATTTGTACGATGCACGTTAAAAGTATTTGTTTTTATATTTTTTTTCTTTTTTTACATCGCTATTTTGAAAGTTTTATTATTACGATTATTATTTCGATAAATCATTTCTAAAGAAAACTAGAGCAGACAAAGGTAAGTAATATATTATTACGTATTGTTGTAATATTTTAAAGGATGGGGTGGCGTTTTCTGCGATCGTCCCTGCAACGACAAGTCTTTCGGCCAGGGTTGTGCGAACGAGTGCAACTGTTTTAACAATGCATCCTGCAATCCTCAAAATGGTAAGGGAGACACGGGTGTAACGTTTTCCGTTTTCTGTAAAATTCTAATTGGCACCATACACATCACATTTCACATCTTTATTGATTAATATCACTAATATTTCAAATCGCTGCATTTTATCGAAACAAATTGTTATTCTATTCAACTTGGTACGTTTGCACTGACACCTATGTAAAAAAAAGAAAGGAAAAAAAATCATGATGAAATGTAGAGAACACACGTCACGTTATTTAATAATATCGTATATAGGCACATGCACATGTGCGGCTGGCTTTGTTGGTGAGCTCTGCAAAAATCGTTGCCAGAAAGGATTCTTTGGACATGGCTGTACTCAGGAATGCGATTGTCATCCTGAAAACAGTATCGACTGTGATCCAGCAACTGGCCGTTGCATCTGCAAACTTGATTGGCGAGGTTTGTATTTTCTTGTCATTATTTGTCTTCATCGATTCATCCATCGAACGTTCGTTACCATCATGATCATGGACCCATTCGCGAATGCTATTCGCAACACACTGCTGACCGTGCAATGTCCAAACGTAGGAATCCGATGCGAAACTAAGTGCCCAGAGGGTTTTTACGGCGAGGATTGTCACTCAAAGTGCAACTGCATGAACAATAGTTCCTGTGATCCAGATACAGGGGCTTGCATCTGTGCCAGAGGCTGGGAAGGATCGGATTGTTCTCAGCCTTGCAAACAAGGCTGGTATGGTGTACGCTGTAAAGAAAAGTGTCCAGAAAATAAATATGGTAAGATTTTCATTGAATGCAAAATGGAATGTACTAATTGTTACACTTTCGAATTACTCGCGTGTGTGTAATAGAATAACTTTTTAGTCATGGGTAGTATTATATTTTAAGCTTGATTCTTATTATTTAACAGTAGTGTTATTGTATACCTACACCTAATTTTACTGCTACTTTCTGCTTTTATTTGTACCATTTGCCAGAAAGACTTGTCGTACAAAGTTTTAGTAAGTATTCAAGTTGTTACAATTTGTTATTGTTAAGAATAATATTTCAATCAAATGAGAAATAATTTTATTAATATTTATTATATTTAATTGCATACCCCTGCAATCTTGATTCGTTTTATTTGAAAGGTAATATGACGTGTGATCATGTATTTGGCGGATACGTATGTCGTTCTGGCTACATGGGACTCACTTGTGAACATCCTTGTCCACCTACCAGATATGGATTAAACTGTGCTAATCACTGTCGTTGCAAGAACGGCGGAGAGTGTCATCACGTTACTGGAGAATGTCAATGTATGCCAGGATGGCAAGGTGAATTCTGTCAAACTTCTTGCCAGCAGGGCACTTATGGTGTCAATTGCACTCAGCATTGTAAATGTCAACATGGTAGATGTAGATCCAACGATGGTCATTGTCGTTGTTCTCGTGGTTGGACTGGTATCAGGTGTACAGAAAGTAAGTTTAAGTTAGTCATTGATTTAGAGTTTATTTAATCATTTGCTGATAAATGGTTCTATTTAATTGTTAATAGTTTGTCCCGAGGGTTATTACGGTGATCAATGTATGGAACCTTGCGAGTGTAAGAATGATTTCTTCACGTGCCATCCTGCCGATGGGTGTATCTGCCGATATGGCTTTACAGGTTTATATAATAATCGATAAATGAATACTTGAAGAAATCATGACTGCAATTAAAGGACGCATTTGTTCCCAGGTGAAAATTGCGACGAACAACTATTCTCAAAAAATGTTCAACAAAAGGAAGAAGCTGGTTATGGTAGCGTGATAGCAGGTATATTCGCGGCGATCATAGTAATTGCTGTTACTGTCACAGCTTGGTTCTATCATCGTCGTAGGGTGGCAGATTTGAAAAATGAAATTGCCCAAGTTCATTATATAGCTGATCCTATACCTGGTTAGTATTAATCATTTATACTTCATTGTTCCAAAATATATTTAACATACTTAACATATTATTTAACATATGACAAATATTTTCTTTCTCATTATAGATCGAAACCAATTCGATAATCCTGTGTACGCCTATCAAGGTTCTTCGAGGTACGACGATGGTACTACTACGTTATTGAATAATCGCCAAATCAAGAACGATCTTGGTATGAATAAGAATGTTAACAATGAGAAAGCTAAATTTGGTTTCGGTAGTACTCTTGAAGAAGAAGAAGATTGTAAAGGTACGCGTTTATAATCGGTTCAATTAGAAGAACGAAACAAAACTAATGCGTGCGTTTGTTTATTTGCTATTTAGGAGGTGCTTATGGATTGCAATACGATTTGAAGAACAGAGATGCCGATTTGGGTAATCCAAATTTAAATATTTACCATTGTATCGATGAGTTAGATGGGAAGAAGATCGAACACGTCTACGACGAAATTAAACAAAATGAATCGGAATACGATCATCCAGATCATCCAAGGCCGTTAAGTACTACTTGGAAAAGTCAATATCATCGAATGCCCAATGGTACCGGACCAAAAACGCAAGATGATACTGCTGGACCAAGTCAACCAACGGATAAGGATCCTGAATTGGGGGAAAGTTAAAAAGTGTCTTATAACATCGTCAAACGCGATGAATTTTTTCTTGTGTTCGAGCCAAAGTGTAAAAAATAAACTCTGGTGACATAATGCATTATTATCGACACAGGACATTGACTATGATGAGTCGGGAGATAGTCCAAATCGGCAAGGCCTTATGGCGTTTGTGTAATTCTAAATGCAAGACGCGTAATGGAATCGGATCATCCATGCGAAACTTGCATTTCTCATTTTTGCTGCAATATTTGCGTTTTTATCTTTTGTCTTCTTTTCTTCCCCATTTTTTTTACATTGAAATTAAGTATTATTATAGATACTATTTATAGATACAATCTATATAGATATATGTATATTATAAAGAACGATATTTAGAAAGTAGAAAAGAGAGAGAGAGAGAGAGAGAGAGAGAGAGAGAGAGAGATCTACTTATTTGAAAGTATGATAGAAGATTTTTTTAATGAGTTGCATGGGAAAGCGTGAAATAAAATTGAATAATACGAATAGGTCTTTCCAATAGAATCGTTTTGAAGACCTTGATAATTCGTCTACGTTGTCGAATATATTATTAATCGTATGATTTGATTAGATTTATATTTATAATGAAAAATGAAAGAAAAAAAAAAAGAAAAAAAAAATGGAAAATTCGTCAATTGGTTTTATTGAAGAAATATTGCTTGAAATAAAGTTGACGTATTTGTTGGGCGATAGAGAAGTGCGATAAGTCGACCTGTGATAACGAGTGTGTTACATAAAATTGTAATCCCTAACTCGTATTCATAAGATGCATATACACATACACATTCATATAATAATATAGTATAATATAATATGATCGAGATAAGAGGTACAATACTTGCAACGTTTATTTTCTTTTTTTTGCAATATTTTTTGTTTTGTTGGTTTCTTTTGTTCTTTCTTTCTTTCTTCTGAGAGCAAAATCACATATAATTTACAAAAAAGGAACTCGATGCGACCAATTGATCTTACAATTATATCTCGCAATAAAATGTTCTCTACATACATTCATGATCGATCTCTATGGACTATATGCAATGTTCCTTTCAAGGATAGACGTTTTTTTTTTTTTCTTAAATCCATGCGTGTTCACACACACACACACATACATATATATATATTTATATTTGTATATAAATACATAATATATATATATAATTCTTAACTCACATATACTGGCGCGAATAAATCTAGATTCTAAATTCTACATACGCGATAATGTGTTTTAATTGTAATCTCGAAAATTTTCACTCGGTTCAGAGTGGAAGAATCTTTATTAGTAAATATATATCTATCTATCTATCTATCTATCTATCTATCTATATATCTTAGTGTTGAAAATGATAAAGATAAGGATATTATTTTGGAGAAAGATACGAGAAGAGAAGGTAGTGCGCTATGTACATCAAAATGGCCGGCAGAATCCGAGATTTTTTTTCAATAGAATATTATTTATCTCTTTGCTTTTTTTTTTTTTAATAAATAAACAGATAATTATTAAATATAACGTATATATAATAGAGTACCATTCGAATTGTGGAATAATTTTCTCGTCTTTTTCATCTTCTTTTTTTATTGCCATTGAAACACTGCTGTTTTTATTCTAACGTTAATGATTAAGAAAATTTGTTTTCTCAATTTTGTTCGTAAGAGAATAAGAAGTTAGACAATCTAAAACCATCTATAAAACGTCGCGAAAGTTTATCTACGATTAAACATTATTATTTACAACGAAGTTCTGTGTATATTTAAGGATACATTTAACATACGATGTTCGATTTTTAATAATCAATCGCAAGATTTTTCCTTTTTTTTTTGTATTACGATCGGTATGTCGATTATTTCATAAAATGACATCTATATTATACAGAATAAATTTATGTCGTATTAGTCTTCTGATATATATATATATGTTGAACATGTTGGAAGATTAAACACATTTGAAATGTGTGCCGTTTGAAAATTTATTTAAAAATAATAAAAAGAAACTAAATATATACAGCGATTCACAAGAATATTCGTACCCATCTCTACTGACAATTAGAAATATTTTCTATAATTTTCAAACGATTGATCATACTCTTGCAAGACTATCATTTATGTAAAATTATATTTCTATAAATATTGATTATTTTTAATTGAAAGAGGGCGTATGAATACTTTCGTGATACATTGTATACTTTTAAAGAAATCTAGAGTCGATCGTTCTAGAGACTATGATCTCGAGGCAGTGGTGAAAAATGATCTAGAGAAAGATAGATATTTTTTCTAGAGAAATCAACTTTGATCTTTTTGGATCAAAGAGTTAGTTAATATTCGGATAAACATGGATTTATAACTAAATATACATGGCACGTTAATTGGCCGTATAATAGGCCGAAGTTCAAGTAGAATTATTTAGTCGCGAAAAGACATCGCAAAAACCCTAGTCGATAACAATACAAGTTAAGTATAATCAATGGCAGTTTGGCCATTCGTTATTTTACATCTTACAATTGTTCAGAATGTTCCAAAATTCGAGTACCGACATTTTGTTCTTTCTTTGTTACAATTATACGTTTAGTATACCTAGTACTCGATATGTCTAGTTGAAATATGTGTAGTAATGAGAGCCATGGATCTCCTTGAAGAAAAATAATTGTCCATAATATTTTTCATACGTAGACGACATTATTTTGAAGGATTGGAGTATTTTTGGCAGGTGATATGCGTTTGGATTACTCTTAGATCGTCTTTAACGACTCGTGAGTTTAGAATAATCAAATACTGGGACACACTGGATTATTTTTCCTAGGTAAAAATGAATAATAGAGAAGAAGATATTAAATATTTGAGAGAATTAGAGACCTCGACGATCGAATAGTTCGTTTGAAAGGATCTATCGCAAAGGTGTTAGGGCTCTTGAAAAGCCGTAACCCAATCGATTGACGAGGCCGGCGACGGATCAGAGATTTTCGTTGTCTTCGTCGTCTTCGCCACCGTGACTCTCGTCGCTATCTTGCCGGTCTACAGCTACGAAAATAGCCACGAATCCTTTGAACGATATCGTGTCGTCCGTTCGAAATCTTACCAAGAGTGCCTCGCTCGTCGATACATAATCAGTTTTGTTCTGAAACAAACCGATCGATCATCTATTATTCTAGCTTTTCTTTAATAAATAAACAATTCATATTGACAAAAATGATTGGTATACCAAGTTGCCGCAGAGTCGACCAAAGGATGGATTGGAGGCATCCAAACCGGAGAATATCTCTACAAAATCGTAACCACACTCGCTTTGGTATTCCAATTGGAAAGAGTAGAAAGATAGGTGAACGTTCTTGCCGATGGGTGCTTCGATAGTCCAATCACAGTCAGTCCCGTGATCGTAATTGCTATATCCATATCTGACGTGCGAGTAAAGGTGTTTCACCTTATCCGTCGCCATCAGGTATCCTCCGCACGCTAAAACAAAGATAATAACAACACTTTCGACTATTCTAATAAAAACTAATCGGGGATAAGTTAATCGTTAACTTACCAGTACTGTGCATGGCTTGGAAACCTTTTCTTTGAACGGAGGCATCGCTCTTGAAGATCATGTACATTTGATTACCGGTTGCCGAGATCGGATGAGGTTCTTTAGTACCGCAAAAGCGACCAAGCGTGTGACTTTCCGGCGAATCCCCATCGTAAATGGCGATGTGATCGTAAGCGCACTCTTGATGAGACTCCATCTCGAATACTTTGAACACCTTAGGAGATAAGATGGAAAGGAAATAAGAAAATGGTTTGAATAAAGTTTGAAAATTCGTGTGATCAACATGTGATCAACATGTGATCAACATGTGATCAAAAGTGCAAAGTCAAAATGTATACCACCAACCAGTTTGATACGGTGTCCCGGTTTGGTAGTAAAGTGCCAAACGCAATCTTTCCTGCCAGGATAATACTCGGGAAAATTGGGCGACGTAATGGTGCCTACGGGCGCCGTAATCTCGTACTTGCAGCCACCCTCTTTGCAATCGTGGCCATTTTCGTGAAGTGTAAAGCCATTGTGGCAGGAACACTGATAGGAGCCTATCGTGTTCTTACACTCGTGCTGGCAACCACCATTGTTGTTCGCGCACTCGTCCATGTCCGTGAAGAAGACCGCGGCGAAGCCAGTCTTTTGCACGCTACAAACAATTTAACGAACGATAAGGGAGGGTTTCAATATATTGGACAAAATCTTACCTACCTGTTATCCGACGTGAATACGATCCTCATGGAATTGCGTTCCGACGTGATCATCGATGGTAACCTGATACCACAAAAAATTCCATGTTTCCTGAGAACATCGTCACCGAGTTTGCTCGCTATTTCCAAAGAATCGTATTCGCATTCTTGTTGATAGGCATTGTTGCCTTCAAGATCGAAATGAGTAAAATTCAAAGTGATACGATATTGCGGCGGTGCTATTATCTCCCAAATACAATTTTTATTTCCTGGATAAGTTTCGGGGAAAGAGGGACTGGTGATCGTACCGTTGCTATCGTCGAAAATACCACCGCATGCGTCTGAAAGATTTCAATAAATTCATATAATCTAAATTATGAAGATCGATGGAGAACTCACCTTCGCAGTGTTTCCCATCGGAATGTAATTCGTAGCCGATTTTACAAGAACACTCGAATCCACCGAGAGTATTTATACAATCGTGTTCGCATCCGTGATTAGTCAATTCGCACTCGTCGAATTCTAGTTGAAGAAAAAGAAGAAACAATCTATAACTTTTGCAATGCGTATTTTACAAAGAAAAAATATACCTTTCATAAAAGTTGCGGAAAATCCAGCTTTCTGCACGGATGCATCGCTAACGAATTTAACGAGCAATTTATTTCCAGTTGATTTGATATCAGGCGGTGTCTTATAGCCGCAATAAACTCCGATCAAAGGGGAATCAGCATTGTGACCGTCGCGTACTTCAACGTAATCGTACACGCAATTGTCGTGATTTTCAATTTCAAAGGCTTGAAATTTCAAAGCAACCTGATAATCCTGTGGCACGGAAAGTCTCCAAACGCATTCTTTGCTGGATTGATATTCTTCGGGGTAATTCGGTGACTCTAAATGACCAACACCATCCAATTCGACGTCCCCGCCGCAAACAGCTTCGTAACTGGCCGTGAAACCACGGTGCCCACTTTGACGTTCGGAAGTAACGTAAGTTACGAGCATACGACTTCCCGTAGATACCACTGGTTCATGGATCTTGCCGCTTCCGCAAAAACGACCTATCGATCGCGAAGAGTTGCAATCATTTCTGTATTATTAACTGGATTATTAACTGGATTATTAACTGGATTATTAACAACACTTTGTTACCTCAGCGTAACTTTCATTTCCATTAGGAAATTGAATTCCACGAGCTAATTGATACGAGTGAGGGAAATTGTCAGGGAAATTGGCAGGAGGATATTGGAATTGAACCTCGACGCGAACAGTAATTTATATTTCTTCTATATTACCTTTAGGCATTTAGCATCGAAGGAATAATTATACCTACCTAGTACGTGACTTTTGTACCAATATCCATCACGAATTTCAAGATAATCGGTGCGGCAATAATCGCTCTTAAAGACATCCAAGGAGGTAATATTCAGGACGATCCTTTCTCCGTGCGTAGCAGTGATCCTCCACTCGCATCTTTCTCCCTCGATTCCCGGGGAACTGTTCGGGTGAGTTGGTGAACCAAAGCTACCGCTGTTCTCTTGGAAGGTCCTGCCACATTCTAGTCGATTGATAATTAAACAAATCCTAATTAACATTTTCCCATCGAGTCATTTATTTTGAGCATGGATCAGTTCCAATTATTCTTACTGTGGCATTTGTAAAGAAGATTAGTTTGGGCGATATCACCCTCGCTTAGTCTTATCCTTTGACCGATCTCCGGTCGTTTTTTTCCGTTGTTCTCTATAGGTAAAATTGTATCCAAGTAGATGCCCTTAGAAAACGTGTTCTTGGCGTAATGCATGATGGAATCGTAATCGTATGGCAGACCTAACGAGTTTACTTCCTCTTCCGTCAATTTGTTAAAGTTATATTCCTGACCTGAAAATGATTAACGGATATGCACACTCGTATGTTATCGTATGATCCATAAATAATGATTCTCATGAGCAGGGACGCTTGTCGAACAATGGCTCGATCAAATTTACACACAGATGGAGTACGTTTAACTTTCGAAGGACGATCCGATCGGCGCAATATCCCACTTGCGAGCAAATATTACAGTAGCTACCCAGCTTCCACGTTGTTAAGGATTACCAAGATTTGCCGCTACAAATTAGCCCATTTATCTGGCAAACAAAGTCATTTGCTACGAGGGCAAACTCTCGATCCCATTGTGATCGATGCGCTCGGGACATCTTTCCCTACATTTGGATAATTCATTGAATCGTTCGAATGCCACCAAATTCCAACTGTACATACCTAATTATATTTTATAAATTAATCGACGTCATTAATTCGAACTTCGTATGCTATGAAAAAGGGGGATAATTATTTTTACAAGAAGAACCGAACGAAATGACAATTATCGAGAAATTGGAGACAAATGGAACGTGTTCGGCCTAATTTGATCTGATCGAAATGAAATTTCACACCTTTTTTCGTCGTACCTTTGAAAAGCTTTGACCTTTCCTTTCGTTTAGAACGGACCGTCGTATAATTGCGATACGCTACGAACGCTTTTCCAAATAATCGCGTTAATTAGACAGGCCGACGTACGTCCCATCGGTTTTACGTGAAATTGAAAGCTCGGCCTGTGGAAGGGTCCACTTACTCACCGCTCATGATGTTGTCACGAATGATTTGTACGTGTCGATCTCGATCTGGCCTGGTGTGCTCGTGCCAGAACCCAACTACGTGGCCTAGTTCGTGAACGACTATACCAAACTTGTCGCAGTTTTTTCCGATACTGATTGCTTGAGGTCCGTTGCCTCTTTTGCCAACAAAGGAACAGCATCTGGAGGAAATATCGTAACAAAGAAACACGATGATATCAATCACACAAGTATTATCGGAAATACATTTCTACCTACAACTAATATTATCTTTTACCCAACTATTTTTTATTCATTATTTTACAAAAAAAGAAATACAAAATAACAACGTCTTGCACGTGTTCTATTTAAAATACAAAATATCTTTCCTTTAATCGTTAAACTTAACATCTTATTCGAGCATTTATTATTCTATCTAATGATCTAACTCGTGTTGAAATTTTACAACGAACGAACGAATACACGAGGAACACGCGAGAATGAGAAAACTAAACAACGATAAAACATACGAGTATATGTTATGTTTACATATTTTTGATGTATATATTAATTATTCGATAAAATCAATTTAGTTGATAGTGTTGTGTATAAAACTCACCCGCAGGGTCTCTCGGTGAATAGAATATAATTAGGATGTTCTCGTTGGACTCTCTCGACGAACTTGACGCAAGTAAAGTTTTCCCAGTGTCTCATGGCCTGCTTGAAAAGTGCTTTGTGCGCTCCGGAAAAGTTTCCATCTATCTCGTAAGGTATGACACCGTGATCCCAGACACGTTCCTTCCTGGCAGTCGCAGCTCTTCGACTTCTCGTTGGAAAATCATGGACTAGAAGAAGGGACTCGGTACCTCGTTCGTTGTTTGCAAGATACTTTGGTTTGTGGTCCATGTCGTAAAACTCGATGGACCGTAGTCGACGGTCGTGAAGCGAGACTACCTCGTCCGAGACATCGTTTGTCGTGTCCCGAGGCAAAGGGACAATCTTCCTGTGGTGATTTCGTCGTCGAGAACCTCTGAAAAACGACCACGACATTGCTCGGACGAAAGAGTCGTCTATTTATTACGATCGACTTACTCGTATACTTATATATAATATTATTACAATTGATATGGGTAGCGGGTAGACACACACCTATCTGTGTCTACTTCAGGGATGCGACCCTGCCCACGCGAGCCTTGATTTTCTCCTACTTCCAAAAATCTGGAGAAATCATGTCCTAACCAGCAATCCATACCCCACAAATCCTACACAATTTCCTATCCAACTCATTATTGTATTAATAGTAATAATAAAGAAAGGTTCTTCCATAAACAAGAACTATAAACTACTCTCGAACTTGGTTCATTCCCGTTTCAAAGGAAACAAACCATCTATGGGTAGCTCGAGTAAAATAACAATAATAGTAAGTAATTGAAAATATCATTTTTCCAAAATTATTCAAGTGTGGTAATAATTAAATGCTACATAGATCACTCTCAGTCAGTTAAATAATTAACAGTTAGAATCGCTTAACGAAAGGAGTAAAGAAACAAATTAGTAAGGTAAATTGTAAACGCACCTGAGAGAAGTTTATATTTCATTCTTAATAGCGCATTCTCTGTTCAAGGCTGATTTACTTGCCTTACCCCACCGTCTTGTTCCTTCGACGATCAACTAGGAAGTCGTAAATCTAATAGGAGAAAGTTTCTCTAGCTAGAAAATAATACTTTAGGAAAATGAGAAGAAAATGAAGGTGGTTGAAGTCGAAAGGAGAATTCGATTAAACGTTCGAATCCTGCTGGGATGGGAATTAATCGTTCGTTGTTTCCGTAAAATGTTCGTTTTACAGAATAAAAAGACCAGGGAAACCAACATTTTCTTTTTTTTTTTTTTCCTCGTAAGAGCTTGCAACAAAGGTAGACTTAATGCAGAAATCGAACGTGTCATGGCTTTGCGGTTTTTTTTACGACGCTTCGAACGAAATTGCCATCGCGGTAAATGCGTTTTTCATGGCTTTAGCAGTGAATAAATTCGAAAAAGAGATAGAGATATAAAACGTACGCGGGGGTGGAAAGTAAAATTATCAAACAACTATCGTCATTCTATTTCTATTAATCTTCTACTTTTCAATTATTCTTTTCTCGGTGCACCTACATCACTGTCCTAGTTTCAATAAATGTTGTCGATAAAATGAAATAAAATAAATTTATGAAAGCAAAAAGAAAGTAATTGCACTGGTGTAGGGTAGTTTAAGGGAAAGAGAGTTGGTGGTCGACACTTTGAAAAAAAATTCTTTCCCCTCGCGTAAACATTGTACTAAAGTGGCGGTGCCGGTGCCGGTGCCGGTGGCGGTGCCGGTGCCGGTGCCGGTGCCGGTGCCTATCCCTCGTTTATTAGTACTAATTACCGGGCGAGCGTAATTCTCTCGCAAGCACCCTCTCTCTCTCTGTCTCTCTTCCAATCCCTGTGGGTCTCCTCGAGCGACAGTGCACCGGCAGTAAGCCTGCACGGTTTCTGAATCGGTACGGCATTACAATTAATTAACGAGCTGCACTTTCGCGAGTTTCGTTTTAAGGGAGAGTTCACAACGCGTCGTTTTAAACTTCTTCACATATCTTATTCTTCTTTTAACACACTCGCATCGAATTACTCATATCATATAATAAAAAATATAAACATCAAATATATAATTAATGACATTTTGCGAAATGTGTTTTTTTTTCAATCGAAAAACATTGACGAGTTCATCTCGCATCAGTGATTACAATTTATGAACGATTTTGTGATTTAATTTGACGACCAACTTGCGCCGTTCTCGTTTTTCGAACAAATGATAAAAAAAAGAACCCTCGGGGTTGTGGTGGTAGTCGGAACGATTTACGTGCGAGAAAATGCGTCAGTAAAGTAGAATCGTTTTTTTTTTCTCCGATTTTTTCTTCTCCCCTTGTTTTCATTCCCAAGCACGTGGGCGAGGAAAAGGCAAGGCGAAGGGAACGGTGCTCGCGTTGCTCGCGTTGCTCGCGTTGCGCTCGCGTTGCTCCAATTTTCCTTTCCATTTCCTTCCTTTTTCTCTGCTTTGTTTTTTCCCCTCGCGTGATCGTCATACGTGCGAGCAGCACGACACGCCAAATGAGAAATAATAAAAAAAGAAAAAAATGGAAAAATCTATCGACGATAAGAAAATAGGAAAAAATTCCAAAGGTAAAATAATAATCGGACTAACGCAAAGAGTCATTTGCAAAGCAAGGCGATAATAAACGGGACGACGATTAATAACTCTCGATATTCTGTCGTTCTTGTTCCGCTTTAGCTTCGGATGTTTAAATCGTACGAGATATAGCGCTATCGTCAAACAATGAATCTGTAAATAGGAATATTGGATCTCTCGCGTAGCCTTGCTGCTGACAGCATCGCTTGGCTCGATGTACAATATAGGTAATAAATGTATGTACATATGTATTATACACAGGTATGTACTTATATGCATATACATATAACTTGGGTGAGATGAATAGCGAATATTTCAGAAACGTCGACATAGGTAACAGAGAGGGAAGGCTATAGAAGGCTATATATATATATATATATAGCGTAAACCGGTTGTCCATTAAATGTGTGTGCTTTTTTTGTTATAAAAATTCTTTGTTTATTTTGTCAGAACAATGGAATGTTACGATTTAGCCGAGCAAACAATGGAGTAATATTCTAACGAGAATCAACGAGGTATTGTGGTAATTGGAATGGTGCCAATGTCCTCGGTGGTGTCCCATCCCTTTTCCCAAAGGATGAGTTCAATATTTTAACGTATTCAATGTATATAATTGTACTTGAGAATCGGATAAAGCTAATAGAAATGAATATTGAATTTTTTATTTCAATTTCTATACTCAACGAAAGGTTTTATGAATCTTTGGTACGCGTATATGTATCGTATATGAATACAAGTGCCATGCTACTGGTTTCGATCGAACGTAAGAGAATGTGAATTTTAAAAGAGTCCTTCATCAATCGTCTCGATTCTCTCCACGAAATATGAGAAAGAAAAATTCCTCTTCTTTTGGTTCTTTGGTTGGTACATTTTTTCGTGAACGAATATAACCAACGACAAAGACCGATGACGTTGGTTGCTCTTTTATTTTCTTTTTCTTTCTACTACTGGCCAATATGAAAAAACCGAACGAAAGAAATATGTAGAGAGGCGTAGATATATACGATGAGTTACGAAGGCCTATCCGTGGTTCAATGGAACACGCTATTCGCTGAATAGCAAATTTCTCTCTCTCTCTCTCTCTCTTTCTCTCTCTCTGCCTCTCGGTGATCTCGATAAATCACTCGTCTTACGGTCTCTTGCACTTTTCTCTACTTTAAAAGATGGAAAGTTAAATAAAAAAGGAAAAATGAAAGAAAGAATAAGAGAGAACTAAGAAAGGGTGTAAAAGTAGAAGTAGGAAAGATGCAGAAATCGATAGGATGAAGTTACGTCGAAAGTACGAACACCTTCGTCGACGAGCCTTCTCTCACCCTGGACACCCTTGTCACCCTTGATAGAGAGAGGGAGACAGAGAGAATGGGAAGGAGTGGGAGGGAGTGGGAGTGAGCGGGAGTGAGTGAGTAACGCTTAAACCCCGTTGAGATTGGTCCCCTGGTAAGATTAATGTGACTTAGTCTGTACTTTAATTCGATACCTCGAACCGGCCGGCGGCACTTTCGAGACGGACCTTGAGAGATGACCTTGCCTAAGAAGGGTCTTGCCGTCGACAGCTGGAACTCACTCCAAGAAGAGGAAGAACGCGTTTTCTTCCCTGCCCTTCCTCCATGCCCACCTACTCCCATTTACTCCCATTTACTCACACACTTAAATGCGCTAAACTTCCTAAGATTATTCGCTAAGATTTATAATCATATTGAAATAGAAGAAAGGCTGGACGAGGGGGAAGACAAATTATAGCTAGAAGATAATTCTCTTAAAATATAAAAAATAAATTAACAAATATAATCAAATCAATAAAATTGTCTGAAATAAGAAAAGAGAGAGTAAGGTATATAAAAGGTTTTAGTGTTAATGTGATGTATGTGTCTATGGAAGGATGAGAGGAGATGTAATATATGTTGGCAGTCTTTAAAATACCTTCAATGATTTTTAATTAATCGATGCAAGTGTCGTATCAATGTTAAAAAGTTCCAAATTATTCATCTATGTTAAGATTATTCGATAATCTTGCAGGTGATCTTAACGGCAAGGATCTTAACGATCTTAAGCAGCATCGTATAGAAGTTTCGTGCTCGTTACCGCAATTTCGTTATCTGACGATTTATCAAGAACAAAAGGGAGAGTCGGTAGTCTGACAGTCTGATCCTCTTCGGAATTCTCGGGAGCTTCATTGGAGAATCACTACGTGATCGTGTTTCACGGGGTTGGATACAGGCCGTAAACAGGCGCTTTCGTGAACCCGTCGACGATGAACACGTACAGAGAAGAAACCCACATAAATGCGTCTGCCTACTATGAGAGAGATACGTTACGTCTATCCACTCGCGCGTATCCCTCTCTCTCTCTCTCTCTCCCTCCCTCTCTTTCCCTCTCACCCAATTGCTTCTACTGTCATTCGTCGAGGGTTGGTCCAGGAACCACCATCTACGCAACTATATTACCTTTGCATACTGTTTATACCGTATATTTAAACATTAGAAAAATTGTAACAAGCAAACGACGATGAAAAACGAGTCAATGACCGTATCAAAAGCGGAGAAAGAGGAACCGAGCAGGTGTTCAATGTTAAATCCAGTCGGTGAAAAAACAGAGAGCGAATTGTAGGAATAGGATCGACATACCTGATCGGGGGTGGAGCGTTGCCGATGCTGACAGGTTATTGGCAGTTGGAGGGCTGAAAATGCTCGGACGGCAGTATCGGACCCCATTTTCCAGGTTTACGATGACGGCCATTGTTATTGGCATCGCCGGTTGGCTCTGCCACCGGGAAGACGAGTGGTAAGAGGAAGAGGGTGGATTGGAAAAGGGTGACTGAGCGAGTATAGGTACATACGCATTTATGTGTGTGTGTGTGTTCGTAATATGTGAGAAACAGAGAGAGCGAGAGAGCGAGAGAGAGAGAGAGAGAGAGAAGGAACGTGCCACGAGCACAGTCACGTGCTCCGATTTAATCGCTCCCCATGGAATTGGGTTAGATACGCCAAAAAATTAACGACAAATCCGTTCTCTTCTTTATCTTTCTCTCTAGTGTCTTCGAATAAAATACTTCGAGCAGGCACTTCATCGTTCGATCGTACAAGGAAGGGGCCCAAAAAAAAAAAAAGAAGAAAAATAAGGACGGTAGAAGCAAAAAAAAGATTGTTCTGCGGGTGACAGGATATGCTCGGATAAGAAAGAAAATTTGTGGCCGACGTAAACTTGAAATTAATGATCCTCGCATCCTTGGCGTGACGTAATTAGAATCCGTGGCTTCTCCGATTGCGAGAGACGTACGGAGTTGGAGCTTGAGTGCGGTTAACTTTGATAATTCGCTAAAATCTATTACGTCTCGCGTCTAATGGACTTAACTTTCGACGCTAGAAGTCACCACCTAGTAGTAGTTTCCTCCTGGACCCAACATAAGCCTGTATCTTTGACGTTACTCTGACAAACTTTCCAACCAATTATCAGCACAGAGATCTCGTCAAATTCTCCAAACGTCTTTGATCGGTACGTGTCGAAAAATGATCAATTATTAACTCAAGTTTATTCTCGATTATATATTTTTTCTTTTATAATCATACTAATTATATTCCCACATGTTCTTTTACTATTCCCAAATTCTTCAATGAACGATAAATCATTTGAATCTTAAATATTCATCGTTACATTCGATAAACGTACCTTCTACGATGATGACGACGATGACGTTGTTTCGATCTTTCCTGCGTTGTCGTTTCTGGTTTGATCGTAGATATATAGCCTCCGATAGCGCTGTTACCTTCTTGCCCATTTCTAGACTTTACCGTTGTCGAACCGATCGAGAAGTCTACGTCATCCGGTTGTCTCGGTGTTGTTTGCTTAATCTTTCCTTCTCCAATGTTAGAACTTTCGCTAATTGTCAAATAATTCTGTCGATGAGCCGAGTGTCTCTTTTTTGTCGGGAGAGTCGTGGATTCTAATCTGGATTCGATAAAATTTGGATTTATTTTTCAACTTTGAGCTAGTTTAGGAGGAGGAGGGGGGGTGCAGGAGGGGGGGGGGTGTAGGGGAAAAAGATGTTACCTGATCTCAATACCCTCCTCTTTTATTTCAGGATTAGTATCCTCGTTTCTGACGTTGAAACTAAACTCATCCTCAAATTCAGCACCCATGCTATACTGATTGCGGTCCACCATAATCGGCTCGGATTTCCCGCGAGAGAGCAAGCTCTCTTGTTCCTCTCGATGGGCCCCGCCGTTGTTTGCGTCGTGTTCGTTTTTGAACTGTAGGATCTCTGTGGCGAAGATACCTTTTGATCTTATCTCAAGTGTATGAAGAAAAATCGATTACTTACCGGTAAGTCCTTCTTCTTCTACTTGAAGACCCTCTTTTAAAACTTCCTCTCTGTATTTCTCCAACTCCTCGAGATAGGACTTGTTCAGTTTTTGTTGTCGCCATTCTGTTTCGTATTTGATATTGGGCAGTGCTATGTCACCGAGAAATCCACCTGGAATCAAATGTTATTTCTTATCATTTTGAAGAATTTTGTAAAAAGAAAATAGGAAAAAAAGGAGGAATTTGGACGATGCGTGTATCTCGGTGTGAATCTCCCGGAAAGTCGATCGCCTTTCCAAGACACGGAGTTCCCGCAGGGATTGAACGTAGTATGGACCTATTATCGGTTACCATAAATCATCGAACGTGTTATCGGTCGAAAGAGAGTTTGCTCTGATCGCGTTTGTTGCGAACGACGTAAACAGCATCTCGGCCAGACTTTGCTATCTTCTATCGTGGCACGAGAGAAAAACGGTACTCTGTTGCAGTCACGCTGCTCTCTTGTCTCGTCTTCGGATAGAAAGAGAAAGACAGATATACAAAGAAACTTAAATATAATATGTACATTCCATTTGGAATCTCCAAAAGAAATAAGAAAATATAAAATAAACTTTTGTTTGATCGATACTATTCTTTTGGATATTTATCGCTTTCCAATTTCCAATTTGTTTTTTCTTCTCAAAGTAATTTTGAAAGGTGAGATTTTTCCTAACGATTACTTTTCAACGCGCCAAAGATCGTTCCACAACGAAGTTTGGATTAAAGGCACCAACTCAACTCGAGCAGCGATCTTTTTTTCGATTGTTAAAGAAGATCTCGTTATACGACCGAGGTAGTTCGTTAGTTTGAAGATCGCGATAAAAAAAAAAAAAAAAGCTGGCGAGAAGGCCAGCTAGGTTTTATCGAATTCCGTATCGAATTCCGTATCGAATTCCGTATCGACATCTCCCATTGGGATCTCACAGTAGTACTTGTCTAGATGGATGCTGGTCGAGCGGGTGCTTCCAACGGGTGCTTCCAACGGGTACTTTGAACGGTGCTACAAGCCGTAATTAGATCCTTTTAAATACAGAGAAAAAGGGAGAGAAAGAAAGAAAAGGACCGACAATTCTTTTTACTTTGTACAACTTCGTTAGTTAAGTATATACATAAGTATAGAGATATAATAAATGCACAACTAAAGGGGTTAAGTTTTTGATAAAAATAATATGATCGAAGTAGGTAGGCAGGTGGTAGCGATCATAGATAATCACCGTGCACGCGTCTACAGACACGATCATAAATTCAACTAGCAATGCAATGGTATTTCTCATGGCAGGGTGCGTTATCGAGGGGGCGAGGTGAGTGAGGTTGTAGGGTCGTAGGGATACCTTACCGAACATCCTCGATCGATTTCCCTTAATTAACCCGATCTCTATGTATCTATGCGTATGAGAGAGAGAGAGAGAGAGAGAGAGAGAGAATAGAAGGGGTTACCGGTCGTATTCCTCGGAATATTCGGTGTGTGTGCACGAGCCGTAATGTTGGCGCGTGTCCCATTAGTCGCGTCGTATAATTTGTCGATGTGGAAATTAGCGGGACGCGTTCCGATATCAGCACGTCCCTATAACACGCCGAAAGGGCCACCCGAGCTCGCCACCCGAGTTTGCCACCCGAGTTCGCCCTTTCGCCGTTAACGAGCACGAAATCGGCCGAATCCTCGTGCTGTGGCATTGGTGCTGGCGTTGCTGCTGTTCCCGTTCAACGATGAATTTGCGAACGCTCGTAAATACTCGTCTGCTTGCGATTTTCCTGCGTTAGCTCGTTGTATTCGCGAACCATCAATCGCGAGTACGTGCACATCGTTCTGTTCTTGCGACCTGGCCAACCAATTTACGATTCGAGTCAATTCGTTTGTCCAAAGGACAATCATTTTATACGATCGGATCTTCCCCAACTAATTCAGAGATATTTATCGTTAACTCCTCTCCCTTTTTTACCCATTTCGTTTACATAGACGAATTCGATGTCCCTTAAACGATTTCATTTTATTATTTTACATTTGAAAATCACTAAAATGAACACACTGTTGATAGAAGAGTTTAATCTTATTTAATTATGAGATGCACTAATTTATCGTAATAAGAGTGTATAATAATATATTGAAAATTTCCCTGTGATGGGAATAAAATTATTTAGCAATTGACGCGTCAATTTTATCGGCAGGTATAATTTTGTTTTCATGGATAATTGGAATAAGTAGCTGATAAATCGATCCGTATCTGAATTAATGAATTCGACTCATGTATATTTATTTTTCTCTTTAGTACGATACCATCTTGATCTCTAATTAATTTCATTAATTGATTTTTCAGCAAGCATCGAGAGCACGTCTCGTAAGAAATCGACTATAATATCGACGTTCTTATGAGAAGTGTAATAACCGTGGCAGCAGCCGAGCAAGCTCTAATAAAAACGGATATCCCTTCTTTTTTAACAGCAAAAAAGGTTTCGTTGCGAGTACGCGTTGCTATAATTATTATAAAACAGGTTAAAGGTTAACGATTATCGTAAAATCGTTTTAGTATAAGTTCATTTAGGATTTGAATTAAATTAACGTTCAGCTTATTATTTCTCTTTCGTGTACACGTAGGTAGCGACATTTGTCTTGGTCTCTTGCCAATTCTTTTATTATAATATAACGTCGTTTTATATATTATTTATTGTATTTGCTTGCATTGAAATAATTTGTCAATGAAGGTAATTAATTAATCTTATAGAACGCATTTGCAGGTGGATCCAACAAGCTGAAGGAGGAAAAAGGTAGGGGGTGGACATTAACGAGATCGAAATTGGAGGATTCGCGAGGACCTATCCCTACCTTGACCCCGCGCTTTCTCCTCGCCCCTCGAAAAAATACGACACCCTTGTTTGACGACTATCGAGGAGGGTTGTGAAACGTTGGAAGGTACGTAAATAGGTAGGATCAAGCGAAGCGTGCACACGCTCGCGTTCGTTTACTCCCCTCTGCACCTGCGATTTATTAATTCACGCTGCCTGACGATGATTCATCGTATCTGCAAAAGCCGCTTGTTGTTGTTGTTGTTGTTGCTTGTCGTTGGTGCTCCTCGTTGGTGCTCTGCAGCGGCAGCGGCAGCGGCAGCAACACCAACATTAACACAACGCCTTTTCCTACGTGTTTCTCGTACAGATTGGCCCTATGTTATATCATCCATTAGAATAATAATTAATGGCACCACTGACGAGTAATGCCGCGTAGCATCGATAATGCGATGCATTATTCTTCTCGTTAAATCGTCGATTTATCGGACCCCCGACATCGATGAAATTCCATATCGAATTCTCCTTTATCGAATTTACGACCTTTTTTCAGTTACCATCTTTTTATTATATTTTTCTCTTATCTTTCTTTTATTTTTTTCTCTGGTACTACCATAATAACTGATGACGACGATGATGACGATGGCGATGACGGTGGCAATGACGATGACAATTTTAGGGTGATAACCCAATGTTGCAAGGAACGTTATACGATTTTTAACAGTTTGGCGATAGCCCCCCTGAATCTATTGATAATAAATGATATATCGGCTAATGAAAAGCCACTCCCCTCCCTCCCTCCTATATTTTGATTTATCGTCGAGTGATCGCGTGAATTTCTAGCTCGTTCGTAGCCCGTTTATGTTTACCAGATTCCTGTCAAATGCAAACCACGTAATAGCGAAGCATCTCACTCTCTCTCACTCTCTCTCTCTCTCTCTCTCTCTCTCTCTCGGAACTGTCCCTTCAATTACTAGCATAACAACGTCAATCCTCTATCATCATTGTAGTACTCGTCAGAAATCTCCAGTCCAGTTAAATTTGGACCAACTAATTTTTCGCATTTTTCATGTTTTATCTGTAACATTCCGTCCGAAGATAAGAATAAAAAATAATAGATGATCATTCGAGAATATCTTTGAACGTTAGTTAAGAGATAACGCCTTTTAGATTATTACTTGGACATTTGTCTAGTGGATCTGGGAAAAGCCGAAAACGTCCGGACCAGTTTGAATCGAGAACTTGTCGATATTCTCTCGACGGCTACTAGAACTCGTTATCAGAAGTCAAGGACAAGCTATCCTCGTGCATTCTTTTTTATTTCTCTTATCGTTACGAGTTGTAATCGTGACGATAATAATTTTCTCACTATCTATACGTATAGATGTGTGCGTGTATTGAAAGATTTATATATTAAATACATGCGAGAAAGATTTATTACACGCTGCTAGTTATTTTTCTGATGATCGTTGATCGTTTTACTTCATCATATTAAAAAAAAAAAAAAAATAATAATAATAAATAAATAAAATAAGTAAAAGATCAATCGATATTTATATATGTCCCTTCTTGAATTGTTTTCAAGACAACATCTTTCGATTGCGAATAATTCGAAGGTTTTTCCATTATCGACTTTTCGAAGCAAGTTAGACATAAAAGTACAAAGATAGTGATTTTCACGTAGCAAAACCTTATCTCTCAGGATAAAACATATACGCGAGACTTTCCTCGAACAAACGTCGAAGTTACGATCGCGGTATAACCGCAGGATTGTGGCGAAGAGCCAATCAGAACGCCGGAAGTGGTCCAATCTCCGAATCGATCTGAGAAGACTACTTTTCCATTTCCAGGACATTTGCAAGAGAGTCCATGAACGATGGAAAGAGATCAATATATATATAGGGAGAGAGAGAGAGAGAGAGAGAGAGAGAGAGATAAAGGTTTATATAGACGTAGAAGGACACGCTGAGGAAAAGAACGGGAAGCGATGGAAAGCACTTTGCGGAATAAAACGGACAAGGAGAGGTACTTCCGGTTAGTAGAATAAATCTATTCTAGTTCTTCCTATTGAAGGGGGAAAAAAAACCTATCGATACTTTGATAAAGATAGAAAGAATGATAGAAAAAGAAACAAGTTGAAAAATCGTAGTAACTTCGATTCAATTTCCGAAAGACATCATGTTCATTGGCTCCATTTGAAATTTTTTCAAAATTCGGATTTTCGAAAAACTTTTGTTTTCCTTTTTCATTGGACGACAATGTCATCGTACTTTCGTATAATGGAGATTGTGAAACGTGTGCGTGTGTCGTATTGATTCGAATGGAGAAGCCTCTCGCATTGCAACGCGAACC